CGTTTCGTTTCGTCGTGTTTCGTTTCGTTTGGCTGTGTTTCGTTTCGTTTCGTTTCTGTTCCGTTTCTCACTTTACCGGGACCCGAAGTGGGTATGGTATTTTTTTTTTTGCTTTGGTGCGTCGCAGGAAGGCGTCAAAGCAAAAATTTAAAATAGCCTTCCTGGACGTCATAATTATTTGGACTAGTATTTTTCTTTAAAAACTGATGACAAAAAAATACTCTGTTCAAGCAGAGGACAAAAAAAAATATTCTGAATCCAGATTTTCCCCATACCTTAAAGTGTTATATTTTGACTAAATAATTTTGATTAATAGCATTGAAGTGCTTCACGTGTAAAAAAATCTGACTCAAACAAAAAACCATACTCCCCCCCCCCCCCCCTTTGGAGCTAAATTGTTGCTCCCTTATTGTTTTCTGCTGAAAATGAATTTATTGGTGATTTATATAAATGACAATGCTTACAATCATTAACTTGTGCATTTTCATATCCATTTTTCTTTCTTTGCAAATTTTACAAAATTTAAAACAATAAGACATTTGTTTAATTTCAAAACTATGAATACTGTTATACAATCCATAACTTCATTAAATTAATTTTTTGTTGATTTTCATGAAAAGGTGGAGGATTTGGAATATCTTTTTCATCAATATCTAAAAGTTGTAGCTGTCTTTTTTATTTAGTGTTGCAAACAACGCTTTCTGTTTGTTGAATTATTTTTACTTTCTAAATTAGCTGGTTGTTCATATTGTATTCCCAGTTTCCTGCATCTCATATATATATGATCAGCAAGAGGATCATTCTGGTTGTTAAAAGAAGAGTTTGAATTTACAGCGAGCCTGTTTAGAATAATGTTTTGATCAGGTTTTTCATTTACATCTAAGCATATAAGGAACCATAAATAGGATTGTTAAGTTGATAATCTAAAGATTTTGCTATTTTCTAGGATGTTATTTAAAATTTGAGGGGAGAACACTGCTCAGCAGTATAAATATATTCCTGATCATCTTCTCTTTGTGGGTTAATTTCTACATCATTTTCATGTACTAATTCAGAGTCGGTTTTATGTCATTTCTTGCATAATTTGTTTTATTAGCTTACTTTTCAAGTTTTTATACGACGGCAAAATAAAATTGAGAATCGAAATGGGGAATATGTCAAAAATTTGCTTTCGAGTAATGCTATCATGTCGCTGTTGCTGTCCAAAGACACATTTGGTTTCCGGACAATAACTTTAGTTTAAGTAAATGGATCTCTATGACAATGTATGAAATTGTACCAGAAGGTTCAATACGCAAAAGGAAGGTTAGAATTGATTTTAGGGTTTATGGTACCAACAGTTTAGGAGTCAGTGGTCAAAAACAACATTTTTGGTTTTTTTTCCATAATTTTTGGGTTTTTTCTCCAAAAATTTACCATTTTTACATTGATTATTTCTCATTTATGTATAAATGCAACAAATACTGATATGGCAGGTGATACACACGAAACAGTGTGTGTAAATTATTTTATCGGTAATTTTTGCATTTTCCCTTTGATGTGTACTCCTTGTCCTTGATAATGTCAACGTCATTATCAGTGAACTGGTCATGATAAAGAAAATATATTGGGTTAGTTCGCAATTGACATGCACAAGTGCACCGCAAAAGGATCTTCTTTCCCTTTAATTCACAAAATTGCACATGATTTTTTTCGCAGAAATGCACACGTTATTTCATGAATGAAACACTTGTCATTGTTTGAAACTTTCAGTAATCAGCTAATAATAAAACTTTAGTTTAGCCTTTTTGAACGATTCACTGATTGTGTGAAAATTTGAACAGAAAATGTACGATAAACCTGATAAAATTGCGGAATTATTGATAGCTTTCCTTACTATTCACAAGGACATATCACTAACATATGGTCCATGCTATTCCGATTTGATGAGTTTTTATTCCTACATAGTCTGGCATGGCTGGTGCTGTTCCAAGTTGTCTTCTTTTTCTGCATGTTTCTTGAGAAGTATTTGTTTGACCTGGTCAGTCACTATAAAGTGTTACAATTCATATTTAGACGCAACACATAAATAGTGACCAAAAAGGTACCGGAATCTAGAAAAAAAATTAAATGTACACATTTTCAACATTTTTGTGGGACTATCATATGAAATTAAGGAGATATGTAGTTGGAGACTGCTGCTGAATAGAAATGTTTGGGCTCACCTGATACCTGTTTTCAAATTAGTCCATATTAAAGTTTGAAGGGTCCAAAATTAAAATATGTTTGATTTCAACTGACAAATAATTTTTGGTATTTTTTATATGCTAAATCTACATCTGTGGTTGTATCAGGCTGTGCTTGGCGAAGCATTTTATTGCTGTTTTGTTTGTACTTTATTTGATTTTGGTCATGAAAAATTAACTTGTAGTTGTGAAGTTGCTAACATTTTTAAAAGATGATAATTAGATAACTTCGCATGGTGACAACACTGATGTTTTCGTAGATTTACTTTTTCCCAGGAATGCTTCATCTGTTGATACATGTATATTCTCACTGTGAACGATTTGTGTATATTTAAATATATTAACATATGTTGAAAGACGTGTATAATGTCAAATCATAACAATACAAATTGTTTTGTCTCAAAAAAAACTTGTGATTTCTGCAGTTATTTTTGTTGAATACATACATACACATAGGGTGAAAATTGGGTACTTGGTGCAATTTAGGTACTGTGACGTTATAGCCATAATTGTTTATTGCTTTAATAGGTTGAAATGTGCACCTGATTAAAGTATTAGGTAAAGTGAAAATGTTTTGATCAGGTTTAAACTGACGCATAAAATATACAGGTGACTGCGGGAGGCAAATATTTATATTGCCTCCAAATAATGTGTCTGCAGCTTTAATTTCAAAGGATGTATGAAGCCCACATACTTCCAAGTAACATGCTCTATACCTATCAAAAGTCATGGCGACAAAGGAAGTACAGTGACAGTCTACAAAATTAGAAGATTGTGAATTTGAATATATATTTTTTTTTTAAACTTTTGTTAAGTTTTGAATTTCACCTGCATTTGTCTGTTAGCTAGGAATAACAGTGACCACATACCACAGTATAACCAACTTCATAATCACTGTAACTTGATATGGATTATGGGAAATTATGTTGCAGATAATTTTTACTACCTTCAGTCTTCACCTCCGGCTACGTTTCTCCTTAAATTTATTGCTTGCAGAGGGGTTTTCTGTGTTCCCATGGCTGGACGGAATTTTAAACTACAAATGTTATCATTAATTATGATATTGTGACTTTTAAATGAAGTACCTGTGGTAATTTAGGAGATTTGTCACTGATAGTGGAAAAATAAGGCAGACGATGAAACATGTTACATGGCGTAAGATGTTGTTGTCCAAACTTCGGTTATTTCCGTGGTACAATCAAATTTAAATAAACTGCACAAGTTACTAAAATTTCTAAATTCTTGTTTTTGTAAACAAATAAAATTCATGTCGTATTTAACATCGAATTTATTCCGTTTTGTCCCGTTTTTCAAGATCGCGATTAAACGAGAATCTGGTAGCCATTAAAAATATAAGGGTTAAACTAATGTCCTGAAATTGTCCTTACGGATATTCCAATGCTAATTTCGTTTTCATTATTTGAAGAATTGACCTTATATTTGGAGCCAAGCAAGAATACAATGTTGATTTAATAAATATAATGAAAAAAAAGAAAACAAATATTTTTAAGAGTTAGATACCTTGACTTGATCTGCTTCGAAAATTAAAAAAAAAAATCGTACGAGATTTAACGAGAGTGACGAAACTTTTTAGATTGCTCATGTAGAGAGAGTTATCGTTCTTTATTCCAATTCGATGCTTCTACCATAAGTGCCAGCTAAAGCTGGCATAATAACGTTTATCTGTTGTTCTAGTATGTTAACTCTGCTTTTCACTCGCAAAATTAGCAAAGACTTAATTTAGTCATAGGCCAATACATAAGTGCCTCTATTCTAAAGTAAAAGACAGATTGAAAAAATAGTTAAATGTATAAGAAAGAGTGGCGAATGCAGAAAACACTATTTTTTTAAGGAGGAACAGATCATACATTTCAATTGTTTTTTTGTGTCGGGTTTTGTTGACTTTTTATGTTAAACGTTGTTCGTCGTTTGTTTTTAGTCATGGTGTTGTCTGCTTTTTGTCGGTTGTCGGTTTTTGGTTGCTTCCTTGGTAGTGTCTCCCTACCTTTATGGTACAAATATACAATAGAAATAAGAATATATTCATGTAGTTTGTTATGAAATATATTGAGAAAATTGGTGTTCTTGCTTTGTCAATATTTTTAACGCATTGCCTATGACAAAGGTTAGGACAATAATGTTTGATTAAAAGTTAGTCATATGAGAAAGAAACATCTTTTCGTTTTAAGACCTTGTGAATTTATCAAAGCGCAATAGCAAGTTTATCAGAATACCATATAAAATATTGAATTTCTAAGATGAATAAGTAACTTTTTAACGTGTATATTCGCATTTTATTCAACTTGTATCTTCTGCTATACATTTTGCTGCTTACTGTTTTTTTAAAGGAATATTCTCAATCCTTAAATTATCCGGATGGATGGTCCACAGAGCAACAGCTGCAAAACTCAATTTTATCTTACAATACTTTGTTGATTTTACCTTGGGGATGTATATTCCATGCATTAAAAGAATACAGGATTTTACCCTAAAATTCGAACCAACTTATATAAGCATCTTTATATATATTTATTTATCTTCTCTTGTATCAATCTTTAGATTGTAAAACCTAAAAACGCAAAGATTTATTAAGTTCTAGTCCTTAATTGTGACATCACCGAATTTTTATTTGCAATCAACATAACACGACGGGCGCTAATAATTGAGCAGGAACTGTCCATCTTTCCAGGACCACCGGCGTTCGTTGAATATAATGAAAGACTAACTGTTATAGTAATAAAAATGAATAAAAACGATAATAAAATAACAACGAAAAATGCTTAAAGAAATGATACACAGATAAAAAAAAAACTAAATTCTGACTTAGATTGGTAGAATGCTTTCAAAAAGTTTTATCAAATATATGCATTACAGTAAAATTTAAACTGAGTTAAACTGGTTGTACATATCCTTTTTTGATTAACGGTCCTTTCGCATGAAGGTACACAGCAGGCCACACTGCATGCTTCACAATTGATCCTTGTTTCTTATAAGGCATATACATTGCATCGTTAAATACGTCATTAGGTTGAGGCCACCCTAGGGTCATGGGCGGATCTTGTATTGCCATTAGCCATAAAGCTTCAACTATTGAGTTCACGAAAGCTTCTATTTCTGGGGAATGTCGATAGTTGTACTTTGGATTACGCAATAAGTCTCCGTCTTTGAATTTCTGTGAGAAAAAAACAATTATAGAATGTATGATAAACATTAGTTAATAGTAAACAAATAATCAAAAATGTTAATATCCCTTCAATAGTTTCCCAAATTTTCATTTAACATGCATTTCATTTGACTTCCATTACAAATATTTGTATCACTAAGTTACTGATAACAAATATTTAGTCCGGATTGATAAGACTTAATTTTGAAAATAGTTAATTAAATCAAAACCGACACATATTTAATGTGTGTGTGTGTGACGATACGTGGACACGTTTATAAAATGTAATTTCTACTTGCAAGTTGCGTCGTCCGTTTGAAAAATCAATTCATTTCAAAGCCCTTATTTTGAGCACTTTTCTGTTAGAATGAAGATGATTTGTGGCAAACTTTTGTTAATTTGCAATATTACTGCCATAAGTAGGTTTGATACACCACACATGAACTTTTGTTATAATTAATATTTTGAAGTATCATGATATGAAAAAAAAACATGTATTGGCAATCGTAGAAAAAAACCCCACAGAAAATGCTATGCATACTAATAGTCATCTGGAACTTTGACCTGACAGTTTAGATGGAAAATCAGACTGCAACACCTTTACGGTTCTCTAAATTCATAGATGGTTCGATGAACTCATTTTCCAATTATATGACATTTAACAATGTAAATTCGAGTTTGTCATGGTGTTTAACCCTAAGCATTATTGTATCAAGATTGCATGACTTTACAGAAAGACAAAGATTGTTTATTTATTTAACAAACCAAAACTGTCTTGTGTATATCATTATAACAAAATGTTGTTCATTGAAACATTTTTACCTGAGTGGCATGCACAATTGTGTGTGCATGTTCTGCCTTTCTCATCCGCTTCAACTCTCTCATCAATGAGTCTGGTATCCGTTTTCGCTGGTCATACTTTACATTTCGTAAATCCAGGATCTGTAAAGTTGAAGGGCAACATTTACAATTACTATATATCATTGTACACTTCTGACTTTAATATTTAGTTTTTTTAAATGGATTTTTTCCCGAAAAAAATGAAAATTGAAAAATGGTTCGGAGCATTCTTAATTTTCAACAATCATTATTAAAATTTCATTACTCAAATCTTTCAAGAAATGAAAATCAGAAATTTAAAAGCATATTTGTGCTCTCTGTGTGTTCAGTAAGGCTAATTAAATCAAAGTACTTAAGTACTGAACATCGGATGACCGCAGGTTCTTATGGATGGTCAAAAGCACATATCACAGAAATAGATCACATCTCTATACCTGAAACTGAGGTTAATTTACAGAGATATATTTTTTTTCTGATTCAAGTTCGTACATGGATGATGAATAAATGACAGGAAATTCAACCGCACCGTAATAACTATTATATCAGTGTAGTGATACAAATCAGTATACCTGGGACTATTATAATACTAATATAATAATAGTCCCAGAGTATACACTGGTTTGTTGTTATATATTATATTAATATTACGGTTGCATGTATATATAATTTTCATCTATTTGTATATCATTCTATTCTACTATTCTAATTATAGTGCAGTGCAAGTGCATGGTGGACACTCTTCTGTAAAAAAAAATCGATTTTTCTAAAAGATTGGATATGAGAAACCATTCATATTTTCCCGCAAAACAATAACAGAGTTATCGGTCCTTGCCGGGAGTGTCGCAAAACGTTCTTGAGATATTCTTCCGTAAGCTTTAACACAATTTTTCGGTACCTGTGCATAGATATCATCAATGATTTTTTACTTTTATATATATAACTAACGACAACACATTTTCATATTATTAATTTGTGTTTTAATAAAAATATTTATAGGAGTATCCATTGAAAAAATGAATTTGAAACAAGCGATAAGTAATGTTATTTTGCACTAGACAATGACCGCGGATCTATAATTTTTATAGATCGGTTGAAAACCCAAAACTAATTTGCATAATGGAAATTTAGGCGATAGCAATACATCGAAATGACCTCACGGTCATCGCGATGTAAAAATCATGGAACATTGCATTTTTTTTTTTAATCAAAACAACTGGAAATGTTTGACGTAAACATACTGTCTGTCCCATGTTTTTTGTATTCACATCGAAAATTAGAGTAAAAAAAGGATCCGTACCTTGATTTCTCGTGTCAATCAAAGATTCAGTCATTTATTCGTTGAGCATATGGCCCTTTGCATCAAAAGTAGCTACCTTGTTTCTTTATCATTATAGTACAAATCGCATTTTGACCATCCTATTGCGTGCCCGTTTTTTGTTTTTTGTTCACTTGTTCAAGTTAGGGGGTAACCTTGTTGAAAGCTGTACAGCGCTGCATTTTTATTGTGAGTTAATTTTTACCTTCCGTTTAGATATTCAAAAGGGAAGGTTTGTGCGCACACAAAACTTATTAATCCCTACCACATTTTGTGTTTGTATAAACGAACTTTGGCTATCTTGGCCATAGGTTATCTTGGCCAAGTGTTCTTGTTTGTTTTTGTTTACTAGTATATTACGTGTGGGGTTTTTCAGAGGACTCAGGTGTGTGTTATTAGTGTGGTCTGTTGGTCTATAAAGTGTTTTTGGCGATTCCAGTTATTTTAGTTTTTTTTGTATTACATACACACACACATACAAACCGTGAGAAATGGATCTTCTAAACCTTTTTCTATACTAAAAGACAATTTCTGGAGTTGATCAACAGCGTATTGGCGACAAAATTCATAGCCATTCTGAAACAAAGAATCGGGCGATATGAATAGTTAAAGACACCGTACCATATTAACAAATGCCAAAAGTAATATGTTTTCTTTTATAATCTGAATCAGTAACTGTTCCAAGACTATATTTAACGATACCGTATTGAAACACTTCGGTGCAAAACAAAATGAATAAAATAATACACAATTTGTTATTCTTATTTGAACATATCGCCATATAATTGTATTAAAATTTTTAAAGGGAAATCCATTCACATTTACAAAGACTATTTAAGTTATTAATTGGCTTACCTTGTGAATACTTGCTAAAATAAATAAAAATGTTTGGTATTTTTATACATTATTTGACACAAGGACATTACATATTACAGAAATAAATTATATTTATACCTGTACGATGTTCATAAGTAGTGAGATAGCCTCCTCTTCATTTGATTCCATTTTGTTAGCAGTAAGTGATTTGAGGGCCTTAGACCATTCTACGATGAATATAGAGTTAAATTCCTCAGATATCCGGGTTGGAGTATAGTTATCTGTATACAGTACACTGGGTCCACCATCTTTTAATTCTCGACTAGCAGTTTTACTCAGCCTACATGAAATATGAAACAAATATCACCAATAAATTGTAAACACGAAGATAACTGGTAAAGATACAATGTAAATACCTATCCCACCTCTACCATGACACGACCAACACAATTAATTTTATCATTGACAATATTCTTATTAGTTCCACACTAACAGTTCGTGAAATTGTGAAAAAATTATGAGAAAACTAAAAATTTCCCTCGACTGAGACGTATTTTATTTTTGCCACAGTAAGATAATACAACGACTTATAATGGTAGATTTTTGAGTTTGATAATAACAAACCTGTCTCTTAAGTCATCTATAACTTGGTTACATTTGTTCACTTCTGTCTGTAGTTTACTGACAAGTTCATTCTGTAATGATATCCTGCTATTGGATTCCTGGTACATTGGTTGAGGATAGTATATTACACCATTGATTCTTATTGGCGTGGTTGGCACTTCTCTAGTTGATGGTGTTCGTTCCAGGTCTCTACTCCTTGGACTGAAATATTCAGGTCTACTTCGAGGACTTAACGAATCAGGAAGGTTTTGAAATGTTTTTGATTCAGGTCCTTTCTACAGATAAAAAAAACCTGATTTTCATTTAATCATATCGCAAAACTTTAACACGCGTGGTATAATTCACTTAACAAATAGCATATGAACACGTACACATTTTTGCGGTTGAAACTGGAGTCAATACTGTGTCTAAATGAACATGGACTGTACATAACAACTAATAGTTATATTATTACAATGATATACAAATATGTTTTATTGCAATAAGCATTGAACCGAAAGAGACAAACACTTAAAGGCAAGCTAAAAGAAGAAAAGTAACAAATGTAAATCGGGGATTATAAGAACATAAGGAAATATTTCCTTACCGTCAGTTTAATATAATGGTCTTTGACATCACGAAGAAAAATAAATTCTTCAATTGCTCGGTGTTGTATTTGCATTCTGTACTTCAGGTATGATTCATTCAACAACTTATACAATTTACTGTCAGGGTACCCTTCGGAGTCTTCACTAGGATCAATTTTTCGACGGAGACTATGTTTGTCTTCCAGATACTTATACTGTAGTAAAAAAAATCTATTTCTAATAATTTAATAATCGCTTAAACCAGAGCATATGATAATACTCCAGATTGAGTATCAAAGAAAATTGTCATGAGACAATCTTATATGGTCAAATAATTAAATTATTTAGAACTTTCATACTAAATAAGCAATAACTTTTCTTTTTAATTCAAAACAACATCCTACCTGTCTATATGATAACTATAAGAATACTAAGGACCATAGTCTTCTTCGTGTTTTAATGTTCTCTCGCTCGCTCTCTTAATCAATGCTTTCGTTTTCGTTCTTTTGATTTTTGATTGTGTTTGATTTTATTTTATGTTAAAATCAGTATTACATAAGTTGTCTGTTTTATGTCAACAAACAATGAAGTTTTTAAACTAATGTTTACTGTCTGACTGTCTTTGATCATGATTGTTTATGTTATTAATTGACATCAAATATCTTTCCCATTGTTGCAAAAAAATTATATACAGGGATGAGGATTGAGTGACCATTTGCAAAAATACAACATCTTAGAAACAAGAGTGCACACGCTTAAATGTCTCGCCTGCTTTACTGACCATTGATTTTATGTTGATAGTCTTAAATATAAAGTTTTACTACAAGTATCACATAAACTTAACATGATCCAAAAAAATGAGGTCAAGGTCAGATGAACCTTACCAGACAGACATGTACACTTTACAATCATTACATGCATCAAATATAGTTGACCTATTACATATAGCATCTAAGGCACAAACCTATAGTTGTTAATTTCTGTGTCATTTGGTCTCTTATGGAGAGTTGTCTGGTTGGCAATTCTACCACATCTTCTTATTTTTATATTAACCAGGAAAACTTAACATTGACCAATAAACCATTTTTGTTTGATGTTTTTCTTTGTTTCGATCTGATGAGTTAAGCCTTTTTAAACTAATTTTTATAGTTTGTTCTTATGTTGTGCTGTTACACCACTGTCCCAGGTTAGGGGAAGGGTTGAGCGCTCACAAACATGTTTAACCCCACCACATTATTTATGTGCCTGTCCCAAGTCCGGAGCCTGTAGTTCAGTGGTTGTCGTTGGTTGACGTCTGTCATATATGTTTTTCGTAAATTGTTTTGTTATAAATTAGGCCGTTAGTTTTCTCAATTGAATTGTTTCATATTTTTCATGTCGGGGCCTTTTATAGCCGACTATACGGTATGTGTTTTTCTCATTGTAGAAGGCCGTACGGTTGCCTTTAATTGCTTACATCCACTTTATTGAACTTTGGTGGATAGTTGTCTCAATGGCAATCATACCACATCTCCTTATTTTTACATGAAAATTTGGTCAAGGTCAGATGATACCTGCCAGACAGACATATACACCTAACAATCATTACATACACCAAATATAGTTAACCTATTGCGCATAGTTAAAGAAAAGCAGACCAAAACACAAAAACATAACATTGAGCAATGAACCGTGAAAATGAGGTCGAGGTCAAATAAAACCTGCCATACTGACATGTACATCTTAAAATATTTCCATACACCGAATATAGTTGACTTATTGCATACATTATAAAAAAAACAGACCAAAACACAAAAACTTAACTTTAACCACTGAACCATGAACATGAGGTCAAGGTCAGATGACACCTGCCAGATGGACATGTACACCTTACAATTATTCCATACACCAAATTTAATTTACTTGTTGCTTAAAGTATCTGAGATATGGACTTGACCACGAAAACTTAACCTTGTTCACTAATCCATGAAATGAGGTCGAGGTCAATTGAAAACTATCTGACAGATATGAGGACCTTGCAAGGTACGCACATAGCAAACATAGTTATCCTATTATTCATAATAAGAGAGAAATTAACATTAAACAAAATCTTCTTTTTTTCAAGTAGTCACTGAATCATGAAAATGAGGCCAAGGACAATGAATATATGACAGACGGAAACTTCATAATATATGGCATCTATATACAAAGTGTGAAGTATCCAGGTCTTCTACCGTCTGAGATATTAAAAGCTGTAAAGAAGTTAGTAAACGCCGCCGTCGCAACCGCCGCCGCCGCCGCCGCCGGATCACTATCCATATGTCTCGCTTTCTGCGACAGGAGTCGCAGGCTCGACAAAAACGTGGGCTTGTTGGAATCAAACTTATAATGCAAATAGTTTATTGTAGGTACTCTGTCAGAATTATAATCTTATAGACTGTTTAATTCAAACGTTTGTTTTACCATCTTGGTGCTTGTGTCAAATATTTGACTTCTGAATATTTAAGACTGCTACGACATCCAGTTTCGTGAAAACAAAATCTTTGTTTCAAGGTAGTAACTCTTTTAATAGGCAACTGACGTTATCAGTCACATTGCTATTTTTCTAGATCTTGTATTGCTGATTATTTTGGTTTTATACAGTTTCTATGATAGTTTTGTAAAGGTAGAAATGTTAAATTGTTCAAATATTAACATTTCAAGTAACTACTCCAATGAAGGGTCAGGGATTGTCTTAATCTATCGACATTTCTGTCGATTTTTGTATAAATAATTACAATTTCTGTCTTATCAGTCTATTAAAGGAGAGGCGAAAGATACCAAAGGAAAATTAAATACATAAGTCTAAAATAATCTAACAGCGCAATGGCAATATATATAAAAGAAGACCAAAAGACAAACAACAGTATAGAGAACACAACATAGAAAACCAAAGACTGAAGAGCATCCGATGTGTTGCTCTTATAGTACAACCCCGGTGATAAGTCTAATTCGGTATGTCACATTCGAGAAGAAGAGGACGGGATTGCGGTTACATCAATTGGAACATATCCGTCGTCATCTGTGAACCAGATATTCCATAACGGTCAACCAACTCGTGATGGCGTCCGTAAATCTTTCGGAGGGATGATTTCAACTTCACCACTTGGAACTCTTGGTTTAATAGCTTCCATGTGAGAAGCAACCCTCTATCAAGGAAATCATGAGACGGTAAATGCAAGCTCTTCATTTCTGCAATCTGTCAAATCATATGAACGAATTACTAGTTTTAGATCTGACTAATTATTTCTGCTGATTGAAGTTGCTGTCTTTCTATTAAAGCTTTCCAATTAAAAGACAAACATTCTAGATGTGTTCAAATACAAAAATGGAGTTTTATTGATTTTGACTTTGTGAACATTTTTGTCTTGTCAGATTATTGTAGTTTACAGATGTTTAAATCTTATAAATCGATTCAGAAGATACAAATCAAGTAAAAAAGAAAACAGTGATTTGCCTGAACTCCAAAAGGAACGAAACTGTGTGTGTCGACAGGGTAAGCGCCTCTTGCTTTGGATGCATCACTTAGTCAAGATGTCACAATCGGGAATAGATTATTATCTAACAAATCAAAAGACTATTCGGTTATCTAAAGATGTAAGACCTCGAAACCAGTGAGTTGAGACAGACACATTGAATCGCTCAACCAATGATAATGAATGTAAAAACGTTTGTAGACTTAGTTTCGATTTCAGTCGTTTTTCTCCATAACTCTATGGATAATGTTTGTGTCAGGATCACGTCCGTGTCAATGAAATATGTATAGTGTGAACATTTACGAGCGTCAAGTATGAATTGAGATATTTATACCATAAGATGGGACAGAGGATATGTTTCTTTTAAGAAATGGAAAGTAACAATTGGAAAGTTGAAATCATCACGTTTTTCATAGAATCTAGTTTGAAGTCATCCATCTGTGTCAATATCGCCAAAAAGATCAAGATATGAAGCAGACCTTCTAGTTGTGGTAGTATCATTCATCTCACTGAGATATATGAGATGTAAGCACTGAAATATCGGTCATCGAGTGAGACAAGACATCATTCATACATATGAAAGTGAACTTAAGATTTTTGCAAGATGCTTCTTTTTGTCTTTGAGAAGATTTTGTATGAATTCTGCTTCATATGAGTACGAACACAAGTCGGCCAGTAGGAGTGCACAATCAATACCCATTGGAATACCAATTGTCTGTTGAGTAACAATGGACCAAACTAAAAAAAATGTGTTGTCGATCAAAAAGTCCAAAAAATAACCTGCACTTTAAACCTTGGCAGTCATGTTTGTTATTTGAACGGAATATACGTGTGATTAACAAACCTGTAGACAATCAATCATGTCAAGTTTTATTTTGATGGTTCAAAAGTTTTGAAAAATCGTTATAAAAAATTAACGAGGGATAACAAGTGATAACAACAGTAAAAAGCAATATTGACATTTCATTGATATTATCTGGTTTGTTTTGTTCTATTTGTAACCATCAATCTACATTAATACTTGCAACTTTAAATGTATACATAGTTCCAATATTACCAAATATTGATCCCTAAAAGACAATTCTTTGTCCATCCGAAGCATGTCGTAATACTCTTTCACAGCATTTTCGAACATCCTGGTTCCTACAGGGTAACGTAAAACTTGTTCTATACCAGGCCGAGATCTACAACCATTCGGTACCCGAATCGATGCCATTTTACATTACGGCTAATCAACTTATTTCTTTCCCTGTTTAAATATAATTGAAATGATAAAATATTTTTACAATTAAATTTTTTTACAACTTTTGGCAAAATATCAAAAAGAACATTTTACTTGTCTTACGTGACTTAAATCTAATGAAAAATTGCATATTTACCAATAAAGAAAATAATCGTAGTTAAAATCTAAAATGCGGTCTTATCTACTGCTACAGGATTTTTTTCATGTCTAAAAAGTATCAATTTCACTTGTGAAAATACGATTTCCTACCTTTAAAGAATAAAAGTATACATTTTGTTTAAGCCGTTTCAATTTTTACTTTTAATGAAATGTACTGAACCGGGAAAATAAAATGACAATATAAAACAATAAGTGTATGTTATAAGGTTTAATATGTAGCAGTATTATCGTTAAAGAATATCTCATAGAAGGAGCTTGTGTGTACAATTTATAATATGTAAAGGATCTTGTGCACCTTAACTTGGCAACTTTTTTCCCCCAAAAAAAGTTACAAGCACTAGTACTTATTGTTTAACTGTCTTGATTCAGGTTTTGTTAAACACATGCTGTGTATAGCACAGGCGAATAACTGCACATTAACTTTTGCTATCCATTCAACATGCATGTTATTAATTTTTTTTTTTTTTTGTTATTTATAGTCTTCACTATTATGACAAAAGTAATGATTTTAGTTTCTGTTGCTTTTTGCATGTTGACTGAATTATAAGCATTTCCATTTGGTTAGATATTAAAAATATGTTATTTTTTAAAAGGGTAGAGCTGAAGTATCAAACACATCAAATGGCAAAAATTTGAGTATTACAGATGAAACGATATTGGAAAGTTTTGACTGTTCTGTTTAGAATTAGTTTTAAAGCTTTAAAACATTTTACACACTTTTCTTTTTTTTTTCAAATTTGTGATCTCGAGCGTACCTAATGAAGTTAATTCTAGAAACATATGTAATGTTCACGGAAATTATATCATAAAAAAAATTATATAATCATTGGGTCGGTGATTGAGTACTTTCATGAATCAAATAATACATTTTGTTTATTTTTTATTAATTTTAATTGCATCAATTACGTAAATTTATAAAATTCAAGGCTCCATCTGCCTCAGGAAAAGTTTACGTCCGATGGTTTAAACTGCTCTGTTTGGGCTATGTTGATTTTTAAGTTCTCAAAAGTTATTATTAATACTGTGCAACTTTTGCTCGCGTAACATAATGAAGGTCAAATAAGGTTTAATGTCTTTATAACTCATTTCTTGACTCCTTCTGCACATGCAGTAAATCCCTTGCTAAAGTGAGGCGTCCGTTTGGCTGCGCGTAATGTATTAATTCGCAGGCACGTTCCAGTCGGAATGGGGTCGGTCAATCCGATGCATTATGAAGGGCGAGTGTCATGCTCTCTGAACGTTGAATAACCCTTGAAACAACTCTCTGATTGGTCCGTGGGTGGACTGTTGCAAGGAAATATTTCTGCCGCTATCCATCATAACCACATTTTCCAGTGGCATTCCAAATTTCAAGCCTTTCATCCCTGTCCACCTACCTGCAGAACCTACCTATTGTGTTAATTGTTAATTTGTTTTAGTCCTGAATTTGCGTGCAATGCTTGCCACTGCACTTTAAACAAGCAACAAACAATCAATAAATATTTAAACCTTAATAATCTCTTCTTATGAAACTACTTTTAACATCTTTCACAATTTAAACCTTGTCTGTGAAGAGATAAAATTGAGAATAGAAATGGGGAATATGTCAAAGAGACAACAACCCGACCAAAGAAAAGATAACAGCCGAAGGCCACCAATGGGTCTTCAACGCAGCGAGAAAATCCCGAACCCGGAGGTGGTCCTCAGCTGGCCCCTAAATAAAATTGTGTACTGGCTCAGTGAAAATGGACGTCACACTAAACTCCAAAACATATAAAGGAACTAAAATTAAAAAAAAATACAAGACTAACAAAGGCCAGAGGCTCATGACTTGGAACAGGCGCAAAAATGCGGCGGGGTTAAACATGTTTTGTGAGATCTCAACCCTCCCCTATACCTCTTACCAATGTAGAATAAAGAAACACATAGCAATACGCACAGTAAAACTCAGTTTAAAAGAAGTCCGAGTCCGATGTCAGAATAGGTAACAAAAGAAACTAAGCAAAATGACAATGATACATAAATTAACAAAGGACTACTAGCAGTTACTGGCATGCCAGCTCCAGACCTCAATTAAACTGATTAAAAGATTATGTCTTCATCATATGTAAATCAGGTAGAATCCCTCCCGTTAGGGGTTTAGTATCATACCGTCATAAAAAATATATGAGAACATAACCCGTATCATGCCAACAACTGGTTTTAGAATAAATGTGTTTATTTCCGATGCAAAGACCCTATGAGTGAATCAATATTAATACCAAAATATGCAATCCTTAATGATCTGACAACAGTATCGTAACTATATCCCTTCCGAATAAGTCTGTTTAAAGGTTTGTTTAGTGAAGAGAAACTACATGTCGTACTGCTTATTCGAGAAGAATTTTTTTTTTAAATCTTGTGTTTGAACTTCAAATTAAAAATAACTATAAATGTTCACATTTTTTTAAAACGCCATCTCATACATCAGTATTGAGCCATGATATATATTTTGCGATTATAAATTAAGGTTGGAAAGGATTTCAAATAGATTTACTCATCATGACCCCATCAAGTTACAGATATCCGAAAAGCCATTAGAATCTTGTTGCATTTTAAATTAATTTCAATAAAAAAAGCCAAGCCAAATCTGGTGAAAAATATGATATGTTTTCTCATAAAAACATCCGATTTACTTGGTTACTTTGATAATATTATGCAAATAGCCTTCGACAGTATCGATGTTCGACACTGACTAAGGTTATTTGTTCAGAAAACATATTTGTCTACACGATTTTATATAGGACATTGATGATGCAGATACTAATATACCAACACTTGCTTTCGCAGACTATGTAACAAGCTACTGGGTGGAAGGTAACCAAAGCCTATGGGACCATCACCCAACATAAGAACAACAAATCATTCGGAAGGCTGGCATAGCAAATTGAAGAAGTTGGTCAAGGCAAACATCTTTTATATGATAAAGTTATTAAATCACGAAGAAGCCATCCACGCATGTACCCTGCTTCAATACTGGTGGGAAACTTGTTATCAAGAAAAGAAAATATCGTGAGATCGACAATTGACTTGAAGCATTGAAAACAAGACTACAAAATGAAGAACCCACGCCAATTTAGTATGCTGATGCTGCTTCTCACCTCATGCATATTGACTAAGACTTTGTGAATTCTCTATATGTTTAACAATTTAGTGCTACTGAAATATAATGTCATAATGAAAACTTTATCCTACTACGTGTTCAATTTGATATATAGTGTGCTAATACTATGTATTGAAAACAACACGTTTAATAATTTCATGCGTCCGAAGCGCTTTTCTGGATTTACCTTCATCAGGAACGCTCAAAGCCAAACATTTGAAATCCGAGGGATGTATAAGTACCGAAACAGTTGAGGAGCTATATGACCAAAATACCTAAAACAAATAGCGAAAATCCATCTAAGGTCAACTTTACCTGAGGGAGTTGAAACCTTAGTTTCTTTATAATTTCAAAATTTATAAACGGACAATTTTAGTAAAGTTTGTTATAAATCATGTCAGTACCGAAGTACTGACTACAGAGCTGATGATACCCTCGGGGACTGATAGTCCACCAGCAGAGGTATCGACGCAGTGATGTAAAAAATATGCTATACAATTATTTAATAAAATGTTGTAATATTAATAAAAAGTTTTCCGATGATTCTCTTTCTTTCCCCCAACTTTACCTGTATTTACCGTGATTAATTAATCAAGTGTTGTTACAACAAAATCAAACGTAATCCGACTTAATCTGTTTGTTTACAAAATAATTCTGGGAACTCCTAAATGACTTTCTTCATATTTTACCTATAAAATTCAAAATGTATGAATAGCCAGAATAAACCTTTAGTCTTAGTAAATATGAAGGTTGTATACAGAGTTTCGTTCAAACATTATTATAAGCGAGGTACCGTTTTGGTATCAAATGTTGTATTACCATAATTATGGATGGCATTTTCCTTGTCAATGTGTTTTGTTGTCTTTCGTAACACGAAAGTAGTTTACAAAATTCACTGTGAGCTTTAAACAAAATAAGATCAAATGTTTCTTTAAGACATATATAATGAACTCTTCATGTCAACCACAAGACGTATTAAGACCCTGTAAAAACTTTAATTAGTAGCTGTCATATAGTTGTGTAGATACAGTCTTTGTAATCATAATTTTTTTAATTTCTTTCTCGTTCCTCTGTTCAAGGTTAAGTTTTCTTCCTTGAAAGGAAACTCATATGATATATAATACTGGCAATCTTGAACTTTTGACTTTTGGGATGTTCGAGTTCGTTTGATTTTTCAGTTTTAATTCTAAATATCGTGTTGAGTATCTAACTCTATCTTATACGTTATTTCGAATTAAATGACCATGCACACACAAGTTTTAGTAACTTTGATTGTATGCGCTTTATCCAAGTTAACTAATTTAAACACTAATACAAATATATCACTGGAACTCTGTTTGTTATTAATTCTAACTTCATTTCCTAAATATCTTGATGATATAACACAACAAACGAAGCAAATTGTAGTCTACTATAGTCAAAAACTAATAACACTTTTAATAACTTCAAAAATGTTGGTAAAGGTAAAATGGAATAAATTCTTAAATTGATAACAGGTATGAGAAATCTGAAAAGACGTCATCAAAGCTTTGGGCTATTTTTAGTGATCCACAAAGACGCACCTGATAATTCTTACAATGCGATTGCTGTAGCAGTAAAAGTTCGATAAGTTTATTAAAAGAACATCTAATAAATATGACAATAAATAAATATTTACAATTTTTGCAAAATAGAACGTTAGCTAAAATTTCTATTGTGGTTTGGCAAAGCCTTTATACATTACTGCTCCTCCTTCATGTAACAATACAGCAGGCCAGACGGCGTATGAAACCTTATCGCCCTTTTTGTTGTAATGGTTATATAATGTAACGTTTAAGGCTTCGCCACGTTCCGGCCATTTCAAAACCATTGGGGGATCCACCGTTCGCATAAGCCAGAAAAGTTCCGTACATTTTTCTGTATATCTAATTACTTCTGGGTATTTTTGCATAGTTTTGAATTCTTCGCTTGTTCTCTTAAATTTCTGAAAAAAATAAAAGATAAAGTCATTCTTTAATCGAGGATTATATGCTTTTAAGAAACAATTGATGCAGGTATTAGACTCAATCGTAACTACTCGGCCATTCTCGCTGCGCCTACAATATTGTAAGAATGGCCGAGTAGTTACGATTGGTATTTGACTTTCCATAGATGAATTATTGTGTCGATATAATTGTCGTTCACGTTTTTCTTTGTTTTTTTTTTGCTGATAAAATATCTTTAGTATCTTTTTCGAATCGTCATTAGTAGTGAAGACTGTCTTGCCATCTCTGAGCACCTTGTCTATTTGAGGAATACTTGCGTCGTTTGATTGACATCTTATCTCCTAGTACATCACAAATCCTAAACCATACGTGTACTTAATTACAGACATAACATTGGCCCTTATTTGTTGAACGTGTTATGGCTTTGCAGAACAGTCGTTGTATTTTGAATTAATGATGAATGCAATAAACCTATGAAAATTAGTTACTGACATGTAAACAACATGTGTATTGAAGCCTGTGTCAGGAACCCAAAAAAGTACATGATAGGCTAAGGGAACCTCCAATACGAAGGGCACAATATTATAATATGGTAATGATTCGGTGAAAGTTTCATTAAATTATGATTAGGGGTTTAGGAAGAGAAGCGGAATACAAAGGCGTACTATAGTGTGCAGATATAACGAAGCCCCGAGTCCATGCCATCCCAAAATAAACCCCCAAAAAATTTCAGATGAAGAAATGAATGAGAAAGTGCAAAACAAAAAGAAAGAAGAACGAACGAACAACTGGAAGGACAGACAGTCATACTCCCCCATCACTATATCACCGCTCGCTGTTGAAAGCGCGGATATAATAAAACTTCAAATACATTTTGTGTTTCTAAAGCGCTGGATTTACCTTCATCAAGAACGATTTAAAAACATTTGAAAGCTATACGTAAACAATCTACCCCCAAAAATGAAATAACCATAACCATCTAAGGTCAACTTTGCCTAATGAGTTGAAACCTTAGCTTCTTAAATTTTCTAAATTTATGAACAGAAAATGTAGGAAAAGTATGTTATAAATCATGTTACTGGCGAACTACTGACTACTTGGCTAGTGATAAACTCGAGTACTAACACTCAATAAGAAGCCGTATTAACCTAGTACCAGACAATGAAAATAAAACATTATGTTATAAATTTGGAGCGTCGAAAGCGCTTTTCTGAACGCACGTATATTAACACTTTTATTAAAAACGTTTAAACAAAACATTTGAAAGCTGGGGACATATGAATACTTCAGGAGATATATGAATACTTCAGGGGAAATATGAATACTTCAGGGGCTATATGACCAAAAGCAATATCCAAAACCATCTAAGTTCAGCTTTGTCTAAAGGAGTTGGAACCTTTAACTAACTCGTACCAACATTGAAGGAATAAAAATCGCAGATGAGATATTTGAATGCATAGTATCAAGGCGTATTGATTGTACTAACACTCAATAACCACCAAGCTCGGAATGACTAGAATTTACTTGCATATCATATATCCCAGGTTAAACTGAATAATAGCTCTGATGTCGTATACCATGATGATATTGGGATCGGTCGATGAGTTAAGTTTGTATTCACTAAAGATTACCAAAATGTTTTTTACTGTGATTTTCAAAGTATAAAGTCTTTGTTTTGCACTCCGTAATACTACTTAAAAAAACATGTTATATAATTTGTTCAGTTTTGTGCTTGAAAGTAATTGAATCCCGAAAATAAAACAAATATCTCTTCTGTACCCTAATTTAATCAAGTGATCTCAAATCACTAATGGAAAGATTGGAAGAATTGAGTGTATAATTTCAACCACATTTACTCCTTCATTGCAGTGATGGTGGACAAGAACAACTTGCTATAGCACCTTCACTGATAAATGTGACCTATTCAAATGATGGATTAATAACAGATAATTGAGGAACAGATTTGGAAAAAAATAGACACCACTTGGATTTTTTACTCATACAGATTTTCTTTTTGGTTTATTATGTATTAATCCTTACTCAATCATCTTTCAAACAAAATTTACAAATGTTTTGTTTAATGCAGTGTGAATTCAACGTTATATATATCATCTGTATATAATTTTGATTAAGAAATGCCCATTTAATATTTATACTAATTTCAAATAGACATGAAGACAGATACTGACCTATATAGATCAAATAATATCTGATACTAAATGAAGTCAAAGTTTGTGTATTGAGTGGTCTGCCATGGTATGCATAAACATTAGTTATGTCATTTGGTCAATTATGATTGGCTTTAAGGAGGAGGAGTTTATATAGAATTCCAATTATTGTCCCACCCTTAAGTTTGTGTTTAATTGTACCTTGATCATGACAGTTGTCAATCACACTGATAATGTATTAATACTCTTACTGGAGTAAAAAGACAAAACTAGCCAGTAAATGGAAAAAAGTAATCAGTTACTGTATTTTTGACAAAATACTCTAATTTAAGATGTAACAAAATTTTTTACAGTTAATTTGTGCATATGTATACAAACATGAGAACAATTGGGGACTATATGTCAGTGTTAGTTACTGATTTAATAGCTAATCTGTCTACTTTCTTTTTGGGAGGCCGGTGCCTTAGGAAAGAATCGGAACAGGTTCCAATCTTTCCAAAAAAGGTAGAACGTTGATGACTCACGTTTCAACTTTACCTTTAATGATTTAGAATACGAATCACTAAAATCTCAGAATAATCATTTTTATATCATTAAGCCAACAAATCCGGTCTGTATATTGACGATCATTGACGGGTTAATTCCTCATTTGCACTCATTGGATCATTACCTTTACAAAATTGAATCCATTCAGAGAAAAAAGGAAGAGCTCGACTTACTCAGCCTCTACCGGTTGGTTTTAGGTTGGTTTTATTTTTAATTTAAAGCGATGGGATTTTTTACGTACACTGTATATATTGTACATGTATACATAGTTTGTATGACGCAAACACTAATACCCCGCTATTAGAAGTATACAGATCATTTACAATAAGTTTCAAGGAAATGACATCCAAAGACAAAGTTGTAGGAAAGACGGGGTTATTCCAGAAAGTTAACTTAATTAAACAATTGAACAGCAAAAGTTCACAATGTGTTAATGATTAACAATTTCCCCTTTTATCACGAGTCTGCTAAACTAATATGATAATGTTTTATTAAAGTTTAAGTTCACAATTGCTTTGTTCCATCCAATTATTAATGAAAGAAGTTACAAAAACCTAGTAAATGGTTGCTGCTTATGGAATATATGTGTCACAAATGACTGCGGATATGTTACAATTGTCGTTACGACAATCTCGTCCTCTTTTCATCGATTGTGAGTCACTGAACGAGACTCATCAAAATGTATATATATTGTTAAACAAATGGTTACAACGTTTCTGGAATTTTTTTGGAATTCGATGTTCCCCGATTCAAAGATAAACCTCAACGACGAATATGCGTAAGTGGTCATATAAACAACGAATATTTGGTGTCAGTGTCACTCCCTTCAGGCCTATATACGTATTATGTCACATAAACATTACTTGTGTATATGTATTTTATTTTGATATAGGAAACCTATATATCATTTGAATAAAAATAGAAAAAGGAGGTACATAATGACCATGTGTAAGTAAAGTTCTGTGAATAATTTCTTTACTATCAACGGAGTGACATAGGAAGATTTCCGGATAAAAGGTGCCTGCCTACGTTTGTGAGTAAAACAAAATCTAGGACTTGCAATAAGACACGACAAATATCAATCGGATAAACAATTTAAATAGACGGTGACATAAATATAATGACTTTTAGAAGAAAATTTACAAACACAAAATGCCTACCTCCTTTTCAATATGACAATTTCTATATTTTGCTATTGAAAACCAAAAACTCGTTTGAAAAATGGTAAAATAGAAGTTGTACAACACTGTAAAATGCCATTTATTATCCAATGTCCATTGTTTTTTTTGATAGTTGCTTCATTGGCAATCATACCACATCTCATTTTCTATATTTCCTCTTCTTATCAGAAAAAAAACCTTAGCTAAAATTATATAATAAATAACCATGGAGTACTCACAATTCTTGAAAAAGCGTTCAACTATATATAGTTGATACTATGTTTTGTACAAGGAAGCATATCATGCGATGTACAGCTTGGGAGGGTTAACTTATTGAGGATGTAAATCATATGAATTTATGAAAATTCCCTTAAGAAAGCCAAAAACTTTTGACATAAAGACATGTCTCATCTGGATATAATTTCGATAATTTAATGCAAAATGACAACACTTCTGACATGAAAACTTTTTAAAACTTCAAAAGTCAATAGATCATAACTGCAGGAAGTTGTGCCAACAATTACATTGGAATGAGATGTACGAATGCTTATACATGTGTAAAAATATAAACAAATGTTCATGCCACCGGAAATAGAACGCCTTTGAAAAGCTTCTGCATTTTCGTAACAGGCGGTACATAAACTATATGAATTTGTCCATGTGTCTTATTATACACAGACAAACAAACAATGTACTGTAATGTATCACGGGGTAGTGGACAAAAACATAAGTTGGATACTAAACGCTGATTCACTTCCAGTTAAACCCTCAAAGTATGAAATGCATCAACCCAAAGTACTTATCTTAAAATGGCAATGGCAAATACAAACCTCTGTGATGTTTGCAATTGGTTCCATACAATATTCACGTCGCAGAAGCTTTACCTTAGGCTCTAAATCAGACCTGAATACTTTTCCATCGTCTTTTCCACCTGGTTGCTGTTAAAGATAACGTACGATATTGTAAATACAAAATAATATGTCATATCCTAAACATAGAACATATCTAAAGTTAACTTAAGCGTAATCTTACCAACCGAAGAGGATCAATTAAACAATAACTTAATTCAATACTCGATTCTATCAAGAGCCTCGAAAGTTTTCCCCTGATTGGTCATATGAAAATATGTTTTACTAAATAATATTCGGTCAGATGTATTTTATCATACACTAATGGTTGAAGTGAAAAACCATCGGATTCCTGGATCACGTTCAAACTGCTATATCAAATTTAAAAAGCAGTTTAGACATTCTAAAGTTACATATCTTGGTTTGCCTATCATTTTATGCACCGCTTAAAATAGAAGTTCGAGCATTATGTGTTACGGACTGTTCGACTGTCCCGTATCAGTCTAAAGTTTTGGTAAACGTAAGTCTTTTTATGAAGTTGAGGTAACATCAAGAGAAACTTGGTAGAGATGTTAATGTATATGCGAATTTTATACACTATTTGCCAAATTGTGGTTTCGATTAAAACTTCGCAGTACAATTATTATAGAACTGTAATTGTGTGAGCGGGTCATTGTGTCCTATATACACATATTCTTGTTTCATATTGCTTTTCACAAATTGTGGTTACCTACATATGTTGTTATTTGACTGCGGTTCTTAAACATGACCATTTAAAATATGGTCAAAAGTGGTTGTCATTTAGATAAACCACCATTGAGTGTAATTATTAATCATGATGCATTAGACATACACGCAATGTGCAAAAGATTTTTCGTTTAAATTCATTAGCTCTATAATCATAGTTTTAGTCTTCTTGTATTGCAAAAAGTTCTATACTGTCATTTAAAAGGAAACAAACGAAGAACATAATTTTAAATTTTACTTATTTATTTATTCTAATAATCTAATTTCATTTTCATTTAATAAAAGGTCTTTGGGCAAATTAAGATGAATCCAACCAATTGAACATGGTTACACTCAATTGGTACTGCATCTATAATTAAAAAATTTTCATAATTTTTTTGGGTGTTATTGTGACTGCAGAACCTGCATCGATACAATTAAAATATCTTATTCTAAATCAATTTAAAAACGTGTGATGATTTTTTTTAAACAAAAATGGCATGCAATATCTGATTGTATGGAAAATTCTGCCAGAAAAAGATTTGTTTACTTCATTTACCAATATATATCAATGGTAGAAACAAATTTAAAATCAAATTGAGAATCCTATATATGTGTTGCAAATTGTTTAATGATTATACATTGAAATATAAGACTTAATACTCACTGTATCAATCGCAAAGGGTTTTAAAATGTTCATTACAATGTTTAAAGTCTGGTCTGTTGCGGTACTGCAACAAAACTTGTATATCTCCTAAAAAGATGAATCTTTAATAATAAATGTACTAAATTAACAAGCATATGAATTAATTTTACAACAGTTGTACAATCATGTTCATTTTAAAACTGTTTTCGGTTTATACAGTATTTGCATCTCATAATTACAGACAAAAATATACTGCTCATAATTTCCCATAATATTACCCATTTTTGGGTTATGATTAGCAATTGTGTTGAGGCAAAAATAGGATTTTTCACATAAATGTGTTAATTGCAAGTGATTTCCATTTTGACTGGTTACAATTTAACTTAACTAGAAAACACCCGCGACATCGCGGATCCGTGACTGAATTAAAGTACCTACGCCTTATTCTAAGCCTGAATTTTTTAGTATTCGTATTGTCATCTGATAAAGTCGTGCTGATTATAAGGTGCATAGTTTTCTCTGCTAGCAAAATCTTCCTGTTTGAACCCGTCCTGGTTTTCTTACTACAACCGGAAAATTCAGGTGACAAAGATTGAATTTAGTAGTATTAATCCCTGTACGAAATTCATGACCTCGTTATTTTAGTATTATACATTTCGCGGGCAGTACGTCGACTAAGCATGGCGAAAGCGTATAAGACACGGATCGATAACGGTCTCCGAATTTGGATATTTTCTAAAAAATTGGCGTTTTCTGTCGAAAAAAGCTTGTTTCAAAGACAAATTTAGGAAGTCCACAACACCACATTTATACGTTATATCACAAATATTTCCGACTTTGTATGGTTTCAGAGGAGTTGCGGCTCAATGAAATCGGTCTCTTCCTTTAGTAGTATAGATATGACGATCTGATTGAATGACAAAATGTCGGGGTTTATATGTTCTTGACAAAATTATGATGAATTGTTTACATATAATGCGGTTAAGTCTCTGGGCCTAAGTTGTAGGGCAATTTGTAAATAATTCTTACATCACTTAAAATATTGACTTACGATGTATGTGGATATTTTTTTTATTAATCAGGATATGGTAAATCGTACAACGGTGATTATGAACATATGCACCATTCTGATACTAAATATTATCAAGACGTCGTAAAAATAAAGGAAACAATATACCTATCATATAATTATATAAGGTAGCAATACACAGTTAGAAGTTTAGTTTCGCATTATGGCCATGGTGAATTTTTTAAATATGAAAGTTTTTGTACAATAAAATTGATTTTTAGATAGTTGAAGAATAATATAGCCTTCGAAGTGGGTTTATATGAACATTTAGATTGTTTTTAGCATGTTTTGTAGGCCATTTTTCTGTTTGACAGTCCGTATTTTCCTATCCGTACCGCCCATAGGTCCAGAAATTATTGTAGTGTTTATCAACAAAGATTTGACGCTCGATCTTTTCAATTCAATTTTATGGAAAAACGAGCAGAAAGGCATATGAATTTTTTTGGACCTCTTGATAGATAAATGTCTATGGTTTCAGGAAAGGTATCACTCTAATTGATTGAAATTTTCCTTTGGACCAAATTTTGGAGACTTTTGTGACATTTTCACCCCCTTTTTTGCAATATTTTGTATCAAATAAATGCAGATTGTTGCCATGGTTACACCAAAAAGAGATTATATTTCACCTTTTTAACTACTGAAAATGAAATCTATGGAAGATGCTCTTTCCAGAAATATACACATGCATAACACAAATAGTAACTAAAGCCTTATTTATTAGATAGGAAGGAAAAGAGGGTGGTTAAAAATTATGAGAGCCAATTTTAAGATTTTTTCCTAACTGTGTATTGCTACCTAAGAGAAATGAAGAATTTCGACATGAACGGTCTTCCGTTTACTTACGTTTTGACAAACGTAAAACTATCAATGTTTCAGTCGAACAAAACATTAGTGCAAGAAGAAGACGGTGTAACGGTGAAAATTCCCTACATTCAAATTGTCAACTTCCCATTTCTCAACAATAACATTACTTCTCCACCATCGTATGGCGTTTACATATCTCAATAAATACGTTACGTTCGTGCATGTTTACACTATAAGGACTTCATTTACAGGAGTAGGCTTCTTGCACAAAAACTGCTCAAAACAGAGTTGTGAGGAAGAACCACTGAAATCGACACCACATAAGTTTTACGGTCGCCATCACAAATTGGTTGATACGATGTGTCTCTTTCTCAACTAACTAGCAACATGTTTTCGCGGTCTTAGATCTGTAGATACCAAAATGGTCGTGTGATCTGTTTTACTAACGATTGTGTCATATTCCCGATTGTAACATTTTGACTGAGTTTGGATTTGCGTGGCAGGTGATGTATGCAATACAGAAGACGCTTACAATATCGACGCAACCGGTCTCGTTCCTTTTAGAGTTTTTTTCATATTGCCTTGATCTGCATTGTCTCAATAGATTTCTGAGATTAAAAAATTGGTAAACAATGGTTGCCTTAATTTGATGAAAGATTTCGGAATGAAAACCACACGGTAGTTGTTAAATCGGTCAAACCTTGTATAATCATCTATTGGGAGGAATATTGTGTTTCCCTCAAGAAATGGTTGCAGCAATGAGTAATCCCCTTAACTAAAATTGATAAAATATAACTAGTTTTTATCATTGGACTTCCAAAAAGTAAGGAACAGGAATGATCCTGTGAAGACTAGTCCTAGTGATTATTCATTGTTTTTGGACATGAAAAACAAATAAAACTTATCATTGATTTCGATTCATCTCGACAGGAGATCCTAAGATTTATGTTGTTAACGGCAAGTAGTTTTTCTATTTTCAAGTTACTGGATCATCCTAAAATGGCAGAAGGGGTGACCCCTGAGAACTCAGCCTTATTTCATTTGATTTGTCTCATCTTATAAAATATGTTCCATTCATTCTTCATTTCTATCAATTGCAAGCTTTTGTAATTTAAAAATAAGGTCAATTTCATACTTGAATCATTAATTTTGAGACATTACTACGGTAAATGGTCCATGATCATTACTGAAGACACCATGGCTGTCTCACCTACTGTTATTAAGTTATAACCATTTAAATAGGACACTAAATATTTTCCCACAGGTTCCAAATGTGGAACTTTGTTGTGCCCTGAAAATATCCCTTCATAGACTGCATGAAAAAACAAAATACTTCGTGCTCAACTAAAAATGAAAGCCTAACAAATTGAAAAACGTAAGTTCATCTGCGTGTGTGTTATTTTGTAAAACAAATGTTCGTCTTATAGTATAAACAATGCCGTCGTTATTCATAAAAACAATTAAAAATAAATGTGGATAGTGTCCACATGTGGACACAGATGATGCCCCCGCTTGCATATCATATAGTTATGAGGGACATAACTGAATAACGATAAAAGTGACGCTACCCAAATTTGAACTTGATCTGAGTTTTGTGGTAATAAGCATTGTGTGTAAGTCTCATAACATTTGGTTGAGGCTAACTTAAGTACAGAACAAAAACTAAAAATTCAGCAATTTTTCTATTTGTAAACACGCATAACTCTAGAACGGTTGTGTATAAGTTTTATAACATTTGGTTGAGACAAACTAAAGTTAGAGAACGGAAACGAAAAATTCAGCAATTTTAATGTTTATAAAGGGACATAACTCAAGAATGGTAAAAGTGTCGCCACCAAATTTCGTACTTAATCTGTATTATGTAGTAATAAGCATTGTGTATAAGTTTCATAACATTTGGTTGAGGCAAACTAAAGTTAGAAAACGGAAACAAAAAATTTGTACTTGATCTTAGTTTTGTGGTAATGAATATTGGGTATAGGTTTCATAATGTTTGGTTGGGGCAAACTTAAGTTACAGAATGGAAACTAAAAATTTTGCAATCTTTCGATTTATAAAGGGGCATAACTCAATAATGGTTAAAGTGACACTACCCAAATTCAACTTGATCTGTGTCTTATCAGTGGAAGTCAAAATTAAACATTGCATTGTATAAAGTATTGATTGTAGTTGATTCAAATATAATCATGGACAAAGGAAGATTTTAAAAATAACTTGATATTTAGAAGAAAATAAAAATTTTGCAATTTTTCCATTTATAAAGGGACATAATTCTAGAACGGTTAAAGTGATGCCACCAAAATTCAAACTTGATCTGTGTTTTGTGGTAATAAGCATTGTGTACAAGTTTCATAACATTTAATTGAGGCAAACTTAAGGTAGAGAACGGAAACTACAAATTTGGCAATTTTTTTCATTTATAAAGGAGCATACCTTTAGAATGGTTAAAGAAATGCCACCAAAATTCAAACTTGATCTGTGTTTTGTGGTAATAAGCATTGTGTATAAGTTTCATAACATTTGGTTGAGGCAAACTTAAGTAAGAGAACGGAAACTAAATATTTTGCAATTTTTCCATTGATTAAGGGGCATAACTCTAGAACAGTTAAAGTGATGCCACCAAAATTCAAACTTGATCTGTGTTTTGTGGAAAAAAGCATTGTGTATTAAGTTTCATAACATTTGGTTGAGGCAAACTTAAGTAAGAGAGCGGAAACTAAAAAATTCGCAATTTTTCCTTTTATAAAGGGGCATAACTCTAGAAAGGTTAAAGTGATGCCACCAAAATTCAAACTTGATCTGTGTTTTGTGGTAATAAGCATTGTGTATAAGTTTCATAACATTTGGTTGAGGCAAACTTAAGTAAGAGAACGGAAACTAAAAATTTTGCAATTTTTCCATTTATAAAGGGGCATAACTCTAAAGCGGTTAAAGTGATGCCACCAAAATTCAAACTTGATCTGTGTCTAGTGGTTATAAGCCTTGTATATAAGTTTCATAACATTTGGTTGAGGCAAACTCAAGTTAGAGAAACCAATTTTGGGACATACGTACAGACGGACAAGGGTAAAACTTAATGCCCCCACCGCTAAGGCGGGGGCATAAAAATATATTTTTAACCCATTTAGATGCAATTGTAGAAATTACAACCGTTCAAAAATATCACAAAATGTTGCAAAAGAGAGGCGAAAGATAACAAATGGTTTTCAAACTCATCTCGTAAAACTATATGAAGTGGACCACTTGTAAACATTAACAGAATTAGAGATATTGCATCTCTACCTTCCAAAAATAACTACAATTTGAAGTAAAAAGTCTTAAAATGGCGTATTCTATATAATTGTTCTTTTATCATTGAGTCCTTCCTTTAAATTCATTATTCTGTAATGGGTGAAGTTAGGACCAAAAACAATCAAATTGGATCATACATGAAGTCATACACTGTAGAAAAAAATGAAGATACATTAGGTATACAAGCTTTAAGTATCAAAGTAGAAAAAGCATGAACATTTTTATAAAGAATATATATTCTGTGTATCAAATACACCGCATAATACCACGAGTTAGGGCCGTAAATCTTCTTCATTACAATAGCGACCATTTTAATTTCAAAAATAGTCTGACCAATTTACTCATTTGACAATTTTTATACATACTTTAGGTAACGCAGAATAGAATATTATTGTTTCATACCTTAACAAGATTCATTAATTTGTGAATGGCTTGTTCTTCGGTCAAATTTCCCTTCTTCGTTGCAGACAATACTTCTAATGCATTTGTCCACTCGTCATCATATACCGCATGAAAGTTTTCTGCAATCCTTGTTGGTCTGTTTTTGTCGCTCAAATCCGTAAAATTTGGATTTCCTTCTGTAAGTTGTTTGCTAGCAAACCCACTTAACCTAGAAAACAAAAATATTTTTAAAATCTATCAAGAATATGGAAAACTCATTTCAAAATGCTCAGAAAACATCATCAAACAAAAGTACGACCTCACCTGTTTTATTTTGTTTTGCTAATCGTCAAATACTTGTATTTACCGCACTCAAGAGAACAATATACAAAAAAAAACACATTAATCTCGGTCGTTCCTAATAAAGTTTAGATAAAACGAGTAGAGTCCATTCGTTTCAATATGATAGATTCTGAAATGTAGGTCTATAGCAATAATAATAAACAGAGACGGTATTTTGGGTAGAGCAAATAATTTTACTTGCAAAATGTCACTTACAACAATAAGGTGTGTTTTTAGTGCAAAGGAGAGAGCATGGCATTCTCCCAACAAGGATACTGGATTTAACAACCCCGTTCAAATCGAATGTTGCTGGGTACTTAAAATCTTGCACAGGCAAACGGTCGCCTACCTTTGCGCGGGTCATACAAAATAAGTGAAAAAAGTTTAAGAAAATTGAAAACCAAAAAGAATAAAATGCTTCGCCGAGCGCAGCCTGATACGACCGCAGAGGTCGAACCCTGAACAGTTGGGGCAAGTTTGGACACACTATTCAAGCTTGATACTGTCTGAATTTGGATTGTGATCAAATTTTTGACATGATACAGGTTTCTGACACAAAATAAATGTGATCAAAGATCTTAAAAATTTGAAATGGGACATTTAATTTACCTAGTATGGTTTGATATCCAAAATCTAACAACATGGTTAGATTCAGCATATAAAAAAACACAAAAAATTTAATTCCAGTTGAAATCAAACAAAGACTTTAAAGCTTAATTTTGGACCCTTCAAACCTTAATATGGACTAATTTGAAAACAGGGCCCAAAATAAAAAATCTAAATGCAAAAAACACAAAAAGATTCAGCATATCATAGAGCCGCATTAATTCAGTTTTTGATGAAATCAAACAAAGTTTAATTTTGGACCCTTTGGATCTCAATGTAAACCAATTAAAAAATAGGGCCCAATATCCAAAATAGAAATGCAAGGTAAGAACCCCAAAAAATTAAAGACTTTAAATTATTTCCATTGAAATTGGTTAAAAGATTTGTATTTATTTTCAATTAAAGTTGTCTTGCTATTCCGCAATACTGTGCTATTGCGCAATACTGTGCTGTTGCACAATACTTAGTTAATCTGTTATATATAATAATTGACACACCCTGTTTGGTGTGTATCTCCTACCATATCAGTATTTGTTGCTTTTATATATAAATCAGAAATAATCAATGGAAAAATGGAAAAAATTTTGGGAAAAAAAACTCAAAAATTATGAAAAAAAAATCCCCCCAATAAATTTTACCCCCCCCCAAATTTTTTTTTTTAATTTTAAAAAATCTTGAGGAAAAAAAGTAGGAACCCCCCCAAAAAAAAATTGAAAAAAAATCCCCCCAAAATTTTTCAAAAAATTTGAAATTTCAAAAATTTTGCAGAAAAAAAATATGAACCCTCAAGAAAATTTTGAACCCCCCTTTTTTTTTTGAAATTTTGAAGATAATTTTCTTTTCAGGAAAAAAATGTACAATTTCAGAGAGTTCCATAAACTTTAACACAAGTTATTGTCTGGAAACTAGAAATATGCTTGTTTTGGCCCCTTTTTTGCCCCTAATTTCTACAGGAATGGGGCAATTACCCCCAAACTCAGTCCCAGCCTTCCATTCGTGGTATGGAACCTTGTAGTACAGTTTCAGAGAGATCCATACACTTACACACAAGTTATTGTCTGGAAACTAGAAAAATGCTTGTTTTGGCCCCTTTTTTGCCCCTCATTCCTGAATGTTTGGGGCAATTACCCCTAAACTCAATCCCAGCCTTCCCTTTGTGAAAAGGAACCTTGTGGTACAATTTCAGAGAGATCAATACACTTACACACAAGTTATTGTCCGGAAACTACAAAAATGCTTGTTTTGGTCCCTTTTTGGTCCCTAATTCCTAAACTGTTGGTACCATAACCCCCAAAATCAATCCAAACCATCCTTTTGTGGTATTGAACCTTCTGATAAAATTTCATAGAGATCCATTCGCTTAAACTAAGTTATTGTCCGGAAACCAAATGTGTCTTCGGACGACGACGACGACGACATGATAGCATTATACGAACGCAAATTTTTTGCGGTCGTATAAAAACATGTTCAGTCAAATCTGGCTACCAAGGGATTTCTATTCGTTGGGCGAAGAAACACCTTAGTGTCTAAATGATTATAAAGTTCAATAACCAGCTAATTTACAATGATATTGCATACCATCAGAGGACTACTGACTACTGGGCTGGTGATACACTCACAAAACGTCAACCAGAAGTCCGACGGGGGTTTCATATACATCATAATCTAATTGTTTTGAATCATTTAAAAGTCTTATAACCTGTAAATTTACAGTAAATATCAGTATCCATAACATTCCATAACATTCCATGTCAGCTCAGGTTCATTGAATACTATGCTGGTGATACCCTTTAGAAACGAAATGTCCACCAGCAGGGGCATTGAGCCAGTAGTTGTAAAAAGACACCAAGGATGCCATACTTAATAATTTAATACGCTAGACATGTTACAGAATATATGAGTTCTGCACTGTAACTGAACTTTAATATGCCGAATGTACGACTCAAATTTGGAAATAGTCTTATTAAGACTGCTTTGAGGTATAAATTGACTACCGTATTGTTATGATTTAACATATGGGATAAAAGAATGGCAATTTTTTTTTTCATAAAAATTGCATGCCCTGCACGGAAAGGTCATAATTACTCATGCAAACGAGTTTATTTAGACGGACATTTATTGATTACCCTTCTGAAATTTCTTGGAGTTTATCCAATTTTGAGTGGGCCGGTTTTTGCTAGAATATCGCTTATATCGCATTATTTGGCCGACTGCAGAGGAAAGTTTTCACCTAATAGGTGCTCTGGGTAGTTAAAGAATTCCTTCTTTCTATCAGTGACATCGGTCGTGCTGATCATTTTAAGTAAAACAATCCAGTGACCAAATTGCATTCGGTAATGTCTTACACGAAGGAATGTGGACGGGGTTGTATAAACATTGTACAAAAGAAACATCAGTGGATGTTTGTAACAGATTATTGGTAACATTCAACCGAATCAAGTTTTACCATTTTCAAAGGAATGACTTCAACTACATGTAAACAATTTAGAACACTTGGTTTAAATGCTTCATCGTAAGCAACAAACCACCATCAACACTCTAGGTATAATGCCGTATCAACAAAGTTAAATGTACGTAGGCCTGTATTAGAGGCAACAGTATTTTACCGATGTTCAAATCTTGTAAATCTATCAAGAATGTACATATCAAGATAAAAAAAAAACAAATCCGGAGTGAATCTCATGACCTCCAAACAGAGTAAGACCGTGTGGGTCTTCAGGGTGTGAATTTATATCGCCTTCCATGTATTTTTGTTGGAATCACAAGGTAAGATTGTTCCTGACCCAAAACAAGAAACGTGTATGTACAATTTCTATTTTGCAATAAATACAATGGTTAATGTTATGTAGTCGATGTTCAAATTGAGCATGGGAATAGTAGTGTAGAGTGTCGAAAAATCATTGATATTATTGCAAAATTATTAATGATTGTGACTGAACATTTCGGTGTAAATCTTGAGAATTGTTAGAAATCAATTTATGATAGATATCGTTAGTTGAGTATAGAGTCGGCTACATATCGCTCTATCTAAGGACTTGTAATTTTGGTTTTGGTATCCAGTAAAATGAAAGATTGTTGTTGGCTTTTGTATAGTAATACTAAACGAGTTTACATTTCGAAAATACGGATTTGTATCTATACTTTCGTCTTTCGTGAATGATGATGTATAAGTGTGATTCCTTGATTTGCTGTAAATTCCAAGTGATTTTGTTAGGCAATCTTAAAATGAAATTTATATATAAGACGATATCGTTTGAGGCTTTGTTAGCTTGAACAACAACTACATATTTGTCGTCAAAAAAGTTTGTTTAGTTCTTTCAATCTGTCCTTAATATAGCTCTGTTTTTGTCCATGTTTGGCTATTTTGTGCTTTTCTGTTACATCAGCTCTTTTAAAAAGTCTTAAAAGTTTTGGATATAAAAACAATTTCGCCTCAAACATCACTGAAAGACATAATTTGTGTAAGTGCCCATCCGATATAGCAAAATTGCTACAATTTCATAACGTTACTAAGTTTAAAATGTGGAATAAATGTTGCCTGTTATGCCTAGATGCAGACAATATTTAGAACTTCTAAACTGGCCACCATTACTACGGAAACAGGGCAAATGTATCCCAGTAAACCCTATGGAGAAATCTTTAAAGTAGCATTTTCTCTCTGAACATGGACGGTCATAACCAGTGAAACCTTTTAATAGTATGTTCCCTGTCATGTACCAATATTGCATCTATCTTTGGAACTTTGGAAATGGTCACTGTTACCATGGAAATAGCAAAAATGCTCCAAACTTTATTAAACTTAATAGAAAAGTTAACTAGCATGAGTAGAGGTGCAATTTGACTTTGGAATTTTCAAAATGGCTGCTGTTACCATTGAAACAGCAAAAAAGAGAAAATTGAAAATGCTTCAAACTTTCTGTTTACTTACAAAAACATGTGTTGACATGCATATACATGTATGTGCATTCAATGTTTAAACGTCTCATAATGGCTGTCGTTTTGTGGCAATTGATTTAAGCTCACAATATTTCGGTATACATTTCAAAAAGAAGTGTTGTTGACAATGCTAAGGTTACCGTTTATATTGTAGCTGATTATATTATTTTAGAAGATACAGAATAAAAAAAACATTTGGTTAAAACTCACAATAAATCATATTAGTAAGTCATAGAAAAGCCAGCATAACGCGATTTGATTAAAAAAAAACTATATTTTGGCTTCTCAAATACCAATACACTTTTATATTAGAAAATAATCAAAATTTTGGTAAATTGGGTGTAA